ATAAGGTTCCCCATGGTAGGCTATTGCAAAATATACGGAGGCATGGGATTGAGGGTGATTTAGCAGTTTGGATCAGAAATTGGCTAGCTGTAAGAAGACAGAGGGTGGTGGTTGATGGGAAATGTTCATCCTGGAGTTCAGTTACTAGTGGTGTACCTCAAGGATCTGTTTTGGGGCCACTGCTGTTTGTCATTTTTATAAATGACCTGGATGAGGGCGTAGAAGGATGGGTTAGTAAATTTGCGGATGACACCAAAGTCGGTGGAGTTGTGGATAGTGCGGAAGGATGTTGCAGGTTACAGAGGGACATAGATAAGCTGCAGAGCTGGGCTGAGAGGTGGCAAATGGAGTTTAATGCGGAAAAGTGTGAGGTGATTCACATTGGAAGGAGTAACAGGAATACAGAGTACTGGGCTAATGGTAAGATTCTTGGAAGTGTGGATGAGCAGAGAGATCTCGGTGTCCATGTGCATAGATCACTGAAAGTTGCCACCCAGGTTGATAGCGTTGTTAAGAAGGCGTACGGTGTGTTAGGTTTTATTGGTAGAGGGATTGAGTTTCGGAGCCATGAGGTCATGTTGCAGATGTACAAAACTCTGGTGCGGCCGCACTTGGGAGTATTGCGTACAGTTGTGGTCGCTGCATTATAGGAAAGATGTGGAAGCATTGGAAAGGGTGCAGAGGAGATTTACCAGGATGTTGCCTGGTATGGAGGGAAGGTCTTATGAGGAAAGGCTGAGGGACTTGAGGCTGTTTTCGTTAGAGAGAAGAAGCTTAAGAGGTGACTTAATAGAGACTTTAAAGATGATCAGAGGATTAGATAGGGTGGACAGTGGGAGCCTTTTACCTCAGATGGTGATGGCTAGCACGAGGGGACTTGGCTTTAAATTGAGGGGTGATAGATATAGGACAGATGTCAGAGGTAGGTTCTTTACTCAGAGAATAGTAAGGGCGTGGAATGCCCTGCCTGCAAAAGTAGTAGACTCGCCAACTTTAAAGGCATTTAAATGGTCATTGGATAAACATATGGATGATAATGGAATAGTGTAGGTTAGATGGGCTTCAGATTGGTTTCACAGGTCGGCGCAACATCGAGGGCTGAAGGGCCTGTACTGCGCTGTAATGTTCTATGTTCTAAAAGGCATCTGGAATGGGTTCACCAATAGGAGGGGTTCAGAGGGATATGGGCCAAACGCTGGCAAATGAGACTAGTTCAGATTAGGATATCTGGTCAGCATGGAGGAGTTGGACCGAAGGGTCTGTTTCTGTCCTGTTTGACTATCATTCTACATTTAAGCATAATTGTGTTAAAATCAAATCTGTAGGGTTGCATGCTTATGCTTCAATGAACGACCACCACAATGAGTTTTTTTTAAAAATTTAATCAAGCCAGATTGCAGTCTGGGATTGGAATCATCCAATAATAGTGTCAGCTGGGATCAGAACATCACACATTTGCATTCTAGGAGTAAAATTAAAAGAGACTAATACATTTCTTGTTTTAAAATGTGACTCTGGGCTTTCTTGGTGCTCCTTGGTCACAGAAGCAAAAAGGAGGTTCTGTATTTGATACCTCAAATGAACAGGGTGAGCTGAAGTCACCTGTAACATGCTCAGAAGGATAGGGGGTTTAAACAAAAGAAAGCCAGGTCAGGCTTTTACTCCTGATTCAGTCAGAGGACTACATCTGGTCAAAAACAACCCAACTATTCTAACCCTGTGTTCCATCGCTGGCTCACAGCCTTGTATGTGTTGGCATCGTAAGTGCACATCTAAATATTTCTTAAATGTCATGAGGGTTGCTGCCACAATCACCCTTTCAGACAGGTGAGTCCCAATTTCCCAGCACCTTTTTTTTTTGAGTGAAATCTTTTTCCTCATATCCCTTTTAAACTCCTGTCCCTTACCTTAAATCCGTGCCCTCTTGTCATTGATCCCTCCACCGAGGGGAAAGTTTCTTGCTGTCTACCTTGCCTATGTCCCTCATAACGTTATAAGTTAAAGCTCAACCATGTCCCCCACTCAGTCTCCTTAACTCCAAGGAAAACAACTTCAGTCTATTTAACCTCCTTTCATAAGTTAAGCCCCCCAGGCCAGGCAACATCCTGATAAATCCCCTATGCACCCTCTCCAGTGCTATCACATCCCTCCTGTAATGTGGATTCCAGAACAGCACACAATACTCTAGCTGTGGCTTAACTAAGATTTTATACAACTCCAGCAGCACCTCCCTGTTCTTAAACTCTATGCCTTGGCAACAAAGGCAAGTGTCCTATTTGCCTTAAGCCCTTTATCTACCTGTTCTGCTACCATGAGGGACCAGTGGACATGCACAAAATCTCTCGATCCTCAGTGCTTCCCAGAGTCCTACTGTTCATCGTGTATTCCCTTGCCTTGTTTGTCCTGCCCAAGTGACCTCTCAATTATCCAAATTGAATTTAATTTGCCACTGATCAGCCTGCCTATATCCTCCTGTAATCTACGGCTATCCTCATCATTATTTTCCACCCCACTCATTTTTCGGTATAATTCACAAACTTACTGATTAACCCTCCTACATTCAAGTAGGAATCACTGATTACATACAACAAACTGCAAGGGCCCTAGCACGGATCCCTGTGGGACCCCACTGGACACAGACTTCCAATCATAAAAACATCCTCGAAATCACCCTCTGCTTCCTGTCCCTCAGCCAACTCTAGATCCAATTAGCCAAAACTTCTTTACTGCACTCTCCCTTTTCCCTTCTTAAATGCATCCTACTGACACAGATTTACCTAAATGTATCTGCTCCCAGTCCAATTTGGCCAAACCATACCCAATTTTATCTTGTTATTAAAACAAACAAAATAAGGCCTTCCCCCACTTTAGTAGTTTGATTTCAGGTCCATCCTGGTCATTTTCCATAACTCCATGAGATTCAAGATTATTTTGATCCCTGTCTGCAAAATGCTCCTCCATTGATACTTCCAACATTTGCCCAGCTTCTATCCAGCAACCATTGCTCAAAGCATTATTGCATAGATGATGGGCAAGAACAGAACCAAACTGTCCCATGTTCTCTCCTCTTGTCCCCTCTCCCCACTAAATGTGGGACATGATATAAATGACAAATGACCATTAAGGATAACACACAGGAGGCTAGTAAGAGTCACTGGCTTCTGGAGTGCAGTACTATTCACAAAGAAACTATGAATGCCACATTATTGAAATGATCATTGAGAGTTGGTATGCTCCATTAAGATGAAGAATAGTTAATCCAGTTGGATGAAATCTAACTATTGGCCCCACGTTGACATTCCACAAACTTCAACCCTTGGCCAGTTAAAAAGCAGTTTTGTAGCAACACTATAATCCATGCCCATTAGAGTAGGCAGTCAGCAAGGCATTCAAGTTTTGTTTTGACAACTAACAGTGAACATTTATGCCTACACAAGCCTACCATATTACACTTTCCAACAGCAGTAGAGTCCAATTTTATTTGCCATCAATATTCTCAGCAAATTATAAAGATCAAATGAAAGTGTACCACTGAATTTAATACTCGTAAAGGAGAAAGTACAGATGAAAGGCCTGTCATATGAGAACTGTCTTTGGTCATTAAAATTCTCCGCAACACTTAGAAGGTTATCACACGTGAATTCAGCTCCTTCAGATCTTCGTGAACCATTTAATCAGCTAAACAGAGAAACCAATTTCTATAGCTTTGTCTATGTCAAATCTGATTTGAAGAGATGCTTGTAACTATAGGAGGTAAACTGATCCTCCAAATTATTCACCTACCTGTGGGACAGGCCATTAATGCACCAAATATATTCAGTTGCTTTGACATTTTTTTGAGGCAAATTTTGGGCATTAGACAATAAAAATTGATGAGTCTCATATCTTGTTCCAGCTTCATTCAGTAGACAGCATTCCCAACTTTCACTCACAGATTCAAGTCTTACTCAAGATTTTGAGTGCTTAACTTGAACTCCGAGTGTCCAGTCTGCAATCATGTCACAAACAGTTCCCAAATCCTGGCAATCCAGCTACAATTTAATCACATCAGCAACTTAGTGCATACAAATAAAAGTCAGGATATTGGTTTAAATTTAACAGGCATTCCAGAAGCACCATGTTATGCCTCTGTGTACCTAACAAAAGTTTAGATACCTCTAATTTAAGCTGACGCTTGATTGCAGTGCTGGAAGAGTACTTCATTGTTAGTGTGTTGCTGTCCAGTCAACAGGCAAGTCCAAGTCCTTATCTACCTGCCCCATTGGTTCAGGCGCGGTTCAGGATCCTATGAAACAGCAGGGAATTTTCCTGCCATCCTGCTCAATATTCTGTCCTCAAACAACATTGATTATTAATTTGTTTTTGACATTCATTTCCTGCAGTAAATGGCACCTTTTTGGACATAAATGTGGTTCACCCACCTCAAAGTAATTAGTTGCAGGCAAAGGGTTTGGAAACAATGGAGGATGTGATAAGAAAGACATCCTTAAGGCACTGCATATAATCTATCAGCATTTTGAATTTGGGATTAACATATGTACACATCCTATGGAACTGGAATAATTGCAATGGTTCAATAGTAGCAGAACTCCACATTCCTACATTACCTGCAGAGAAGTATCAAATACCACAAGTTTGGAGCTGGTGGGAACAAGATCATAGCATCTGTGCGACTTCATAAAGCGAGTGTAGACTTCATGGTTGGAGTTGTTCACTGCAATGAAAGAAAGAATGTTAACAATTCCAGCTACTTCAGGTGGCATTATTTCAGTCAAATGTGTAGGACTGGCTGGAATCACAAGTAGGAAGTTTTTCAGGAATCACAGTGTAAATAGTTATAATAGACAAAATCTCCTGCAACAAATTAAAGTTTTTTTTAAATATTACAGATTCATTTTTTCCCCTCTTTGACTTGGAATATTTTTAGATTACCTGCCTTTACAGAATTGGTTCTCTGGCTCAGAAGGTGAAAAAATTAGCTGCTTCTAGATTTCTGCCGATGGGTTTGGACTATTGATTACCACAGGTATGGACAGTAGGAGAACCAGAAATTCTTTTAAAAAGTGGTAAAAAGTAAATACTCTACCTACTTTAAAAAAAACTAGCCATGATCATCTCTATTTACAATAAAGCTATTGTACAAAATGGGTCCAAAAGTATGAATAAAGGCTATTTGGAATCACAACATGTAGTGATACCACAATTGCACAGAAAATGTCTTAAGGCAATGAAACAAGTCACTAATTGTGACCACAGAAGCAATTTGAATAAATTGGTTTAGATCTTCCTTTCATTTGGTTGCTAGAATTGAGTGTTTGCTCAGTGCACAGTTGAGAGGAACCAGCTGCTGAGGTTTAAAAAGTGAACACAATTTGACATATGAACCAGAACAATTCTGGCATTATACTAAGAGCTTGACTTTGCTTGTGGGTCTTTGAAATTCTGTCCCAAAGCAGGAAGCAGACCCATTGAATAGTTTTAAGGTTGAGGTAAATCGATTCTTGATTAATAAGGAAATCAAAGGTTATTGGAGGCTGATAGGAATATGAATTTGAGGCCACAATCAGGCGTGATCTTATTGAATGGTGGAGCAGGCTAGAGGTGCCAAATATCACACTCCTGCTCCTAACATATGTTTGTATGGATATTACGAGATATATTTTATAGCCAAGCCACATTCTAAGTGCTGACCAAGAGAGTGGTCTTCACCCAAAAATATATATTGGCGGGCTATTACAACAGAGTGCACTGTAAATAAGATTTTTATTTTCAAATGTTTACCATTTTCATTTAAGTTATTGAAAATACTTTCTGTGACAGATTTTATGCTGGGTATAGTTAATTTTAAATGGGAACTTGATAGTATTAAGAATTAGCAGTTAGTGTTTACAGCTACAAGTCTTCAGCATTTTCCATTACTTCTGATTCCTTTCAGCAGGTTCCAAGTCTGATTATAGAATTGCCAAGTGAGGGAGGTCATTTGGTCCATCCAGCTATACTTTCCGTAGCAACTTCCACAGCATCTAACTACCTTTTGAATGACTCCTGTTTTTCCTCAGGTCTTTTCACTACATCAATAAGTGCTTCCTGACATCAGTCCTGAACTTGTATCCTTAAAATCCATTTCCTTTCGTATCACAGTCAGTGTAACTTGAACCCATATGCTACTTATGTACCTTTATTCCTCTCATTATCCTCCCTTCAATGAAAAATCCAGGATTTTCTATGCGCATACAGTAATTCAGTTCTCTGACACCAGAAATGTCCCGGTCCCCAGTGCTTCCCAGGTTTGGGTTTCAGTGAAACGAGCTTGACAACATATTGAAGATACAGCCTGACCACAGCACTGTAACAAAGGGCCAAAGCACAATGCCAGATTTGTATTCGATGGAATGGCCAAATTAGCTCAGCTTAAGTTTATTAGTGCTTTGCAATGCTTGAACATGGCCCATATCCAGATCTTGTGCAGCCTCTTCCCTCAGCAAGGTGAACAGTCTTTACAACATCCCTCACTCTCAGTGTACCTTGCGTTCACTAGAATTGAATTTTTTGTGCCCGACAAGTACTGTCTAGAACCTTAAGGAGTTCTTTGGTTGCCTGATCAGTAATTGCCATCCCACCTAATTTCGCTTGTCTATTGATTGAATCAACTTTTGTTGAGTTTCTAAACTCATGGCATTCTGGCAAGCTTTGCTGTGTCTCTCATCACGACCAGGGATTTTCTGTATTTAAATTGCATTTGGCAATATAAACAAACTTTATGTTAAAAAGGGCTCTGTAAATACTGAATACTGTAAATGTTTACCACAATAACCAGCTGACTACACTCCATATATGCTTGAAGTGGATAGATCCCTGGAAGATACATGCCAGAAAGCAATCACCTTGATGACAGAAACAATGATGCAAGGTGACTGCTTGTAGAAGCAGACTGACTGGAGAATTCAGAACAAGAAAACCCCAGCAGTGTGGGACGGTCCAACAGCAGTACAGATTTGTTTTTTTAAATATAAAAAGCCGACGACAAGTACAGGGGTAGAGACAGTGGTAATCATTTGTAACACCACACCACAGCGAAGCAAGAGATTATCAGTTGGGAAATGAATGACACCATCCGAGAAAACAACTGAAGTCAGGTATCCCAGGATGAGGAGTGTAGTCAGCCCCTTTTCCATCTCTGACCAGCAGTCCTGAATGCAGTATCGGTTCAATGGCACCCAAACAGGGACAAAATACAGGTCGAGGAAAAGAACCAGAAGCTGCAGCTCACAAATCTAATGACAAGAAAGAACAGTCCTGCAAGACAATGTGAGTTATGTTCCAAGCTACATGTTAACCTGGAGGGTTCTCAGCTTGACACAGTTGGATAACTTTGGCCTATGTCAGAAGGTTGTGGGTCTAGGCCAATATTCTCAGAGCAGGTCTGAGGGACTATTACTTTGGCAGAGGTGATACCTTTTGAATACGACATTGAATGGGGGCCCTATCTACCTGGTTAGGCGAATGTTAAAGATTCCAGGGCACTATTTGATAGAGAGCTTTTGTAGCACCCTGATCAACGTTGCTCCCTCATCCAACACCACCACAGATAACAAACATTAAACTGATCACTCATTTCATTTGATGCTTGCAAAAATCGCTGTGCACAAAATTTGCATGCATTGGCGCACATAACAATGATTGCATTTTAAAAGCAATTAATTTATTGCAAAGCACTTCCAAACAACTGGAGAACATCACAAGGTGTTAAGATAAACCTGCATCCTCTCTTTCAGGGCTATTCTCACTAATGCGCTGGGCCAGTGAAACCAAAACAGATTTAGATGTGCAGCACAGAGCAAAGTGGAGAATTGACAGTTTTAGATTCCTTTGACGGAACGTTCATGAGGTAGGACTTGCCATTCTGGTATCAATGTTCTTACATAGAGAATATATAGGTTAGTGGATAAGAACCTAAACTGGTAAGGAAGGACAAAGAAACCAGACCAAATAAGAAAAAAAATCAATTAAGTAAAGGAGGAATGTTGTGGAAGCTGCTCTTAACCGATTACTGTTTATATACAGGTATAAATGTTGCAAGCATTCACAATGAAAAGTATTTGAGCCTGAAGCTGTTGTAGCAATTGGGAATTTTGGCGTTTTAATATCTCCAAAATATGGTTAATTCTCAAATGGTGAAGAGGTGGAGGAGCTCTCAGACACTAGACTCACTGGCATGGGTTAAGCATTCCAAAAAAAGTATAGCGTGCAAAGGGAACAAGGATATTTCCCATGATTGGTTATAAATTGTTGGGTCCAAGTAAGTAGGAGATATGACTGTGTGAAAAGGTAAGTGTGGAAAAAATAAAATCATTTCAGTGAGGAATTTTAACCAACTTTATATAAACTGAAAACACAGTGGTTTAGGATTTAAGCTAGTAAATATTTCTAACTACTATCTGATTCAGTGAATTAGAGTAAGCCATAAAGAGGAATTCTCACCTCCATTTAGTAAAGGTATGTGTATCATAGAGTATAATGGAGATGGAAGTAGTACCACTCCAGCTGATAACACCTGACATAAGCTAATTAAACCAACATTGCAAACTAGTACTCAACTTGTACAATTTCATGGCAATGAAAGATGGCTTTCTTACTGGTATGATTGCTGAAGAGGGGTTTAAAAGGATACAAAGGCAATAAATTCTCAAAAACAGGTCAGGAATGAAACCTACAACGTGTTAACAGTCATCACGAAAGACACAGGAATGGTCCCACTGGAGATGAAATCAACCCTCATAGTTACCTTTAAGAAAAGCAATGGAAGAAGCCCAGGCAACTATAGAGCTGCAAGTCCAACATCAATAACAAGTAACATAATGGAATCGATTGGGAGCAAATCTTACATTGCCTGCATGAAACTTATCGAATGAGCCGCTGTCAACATGGCTTTGGTTTTGAGAAGGGGCTGATCTAACCTATCCAAATGTTAAGGAAGTGACATTCCAACTGAAAATTTAAAAGTCCCGTGATCTAGTGCAGGGGTGCTCAAACAGTGACCAGGAAACAAGCCCCAGAGCCGAGGTGCTCCCGTACGCCTAGGCAGCTCTATGCAATGTGCGCTGATTACTTGCTTGCAGCTTTCCCGTTTGAATTTTGTGATTAGAGGCTTAGGAAGCACTGTTTTTTGGTCCTCCTACCTTATTGACAGATCAATTGTAAACCAGAAAAATGTTAGCGCAAAATGTATAGAAATTAATGGGAATATGGACGTAAACTTTACATGCCACCCACGGCTTCTTGGCATACACTTATGGAGCCACTGAAATCAAAAAGCATCAGTATCCTAAACAGTATACCAACACTTCCAGAAATTCTTTGAAGTTCCAAGTGAAAAGGTGCTTCACAAACACAAGGCAGTAAATATCTTAACAAGCAGCACAAGGTCAGGCTGTGGAAATGTACTGAGTAATGCATCCCAGGGACTGGTGCTGGAACTTTCTTTGTTTCTGATCTGCAAAGGTGACTAGAATTCAGAAACACAGATGGCACCAAAATCAAGGGTGAGGGAATCAAGTCTGACAAAAGAGCCAAGCAGATACAAGGACAACATGGGCTTGTGTACAGAATTATGAGAAAAGAAATTCAATTTAGATACAAGTGCAAGATCATGCGCAGCAGATGGAAAACATGCCATAAAAATGGTTGTGAATTAGGCAGGAAAAAGACCAAAAGACAACGGGGAACGATAGTAGTCTTAGCACTGACTACAACCAGTCAAAAATAGCGAACAACAAAGCAAGCACAATGCCATACTATAGTGGCAAATCAAAAACCTTGGTAAGGCGTTTGAAAGCCATGGCCCCTGAGCTGTACATAGTTGCATAACATCTAATTTGTTGCTTTCCCAGCACGCTTGCCTTCATTGCTCAGATCTTTGAGTATAGGAGTTGGGACGTCATGTTAAGGTTGTAGAGGATGTTAGTGAGGCCTCTTCTGGGGTAGTGTGTGCAGCTCTGGTCACCCGGTTATAGAGAGGATATTATTAAACTGGAGGGGGTTCAGAAAAGAGTTACCAGGATGTTGTTGGGAATGCAGGACTTAAGTTATAAAAATAGGCTGGGACTTCTTTCACTGGAGTGTAGGAGGTTGAGGGGTGGCCTTGTAGAGGTTTATAAAATCATGAGGCATAGATAAGTTGAACAGTAAAAGTCTTTTCTCTCAGGTGGGGGGAGTTCAAAACTAGGGGGCATATTTTTAAGGTGAGCAGCGAAAGATTTAAAAAGGACAAGAGGGGCAACATTTTTTTTTTTTAAAAGTGGTTAGTGTGTGGAAGGAACTGCCTGAGAAAGTGGTGGATGCAGGTACAGTTACAAAGTTTAAAAGACATTCAGATAAGTACATGAATAGGAACGGTTTGGAGGGATATGGGCCAAATGCTGGCAGCTGGGACTAGTTTATTTTGGGAAACTTGGTTGGCATGGACTAATTGGACTGAAGGGTCTGTTTCCATGCTGTATGACTCTATAACATAGAAAGACTGAAGACATTAAGTCAAGAAATGGCAAATTCAAGAATCACATGGCCATATAAATGTCTTTTGAATTACTAATTGCCTGATCAAAAGCATAGTCCCTCAGTGGCCAGGCTTCAAAATACTACCTTTGGGGTTTGGAATATGTATCGCAACTGTGGTCTTAAAATGATAAAGGTTCAGACCACCGAGAACATTGTGCTCTCCAAGTTGTTTACAGTTTATCAAATAATTCAATTCACAGACATTAAATATTTAACACTGGCAATTATTTAATGCTGGAATTGACTAGATTATATAAATGAAAAGCATAATATGGCATACAGGGGAATTTCTCTCACGTGCTGAATAGCCAGGTTTTAATGCAAGGTTAAAAAGCTAATCACAATACTGCATTTTACATGATTGTTTTAATGAAACAACACTGTTTGGCTGGAGATCAATCTGTCCCAGTGGTATGGCCACACCATGATTATGGACAATGCACAAATCCTAAACATGCATATTCTAGAGATAGGAAAATTCCTGGAATGTACAAATAGGACTTCTGCCCAACCCATGAACAAGATTGAAATTTTACAAAATTCAGTGGTAACTGCTATAATTCTCAAACTTCAGAGAGAGGATAAACCAAATGACTTTTTAATCATATCAGATTAGTGCATAAATTTCTTTGCATTCTTGAAGAAACTCCCTCTCAGGGCATACTTATGCCTTCACTCCAATCCTTATGTTTTTGTCTTTTGTCTCCCAACAGTTTTTATTTTAGGCTTGTTTTTACGAAGAGGCTTTTCAGGTGAAAGAATTATTGCTGACCACTGGGCTGTGGCCATAATGTTCAAGCTGCACAGTGCTTTACCTTGAATATTACGCTCATTTTTGAACATTCATGCATCCAAGCCTGGAAACAGTGAACAGTAGGACCACAAGGCTGACTCTTGATGTTGGAGCACTACATTATAAGGGGCAGGCTTAAAAAAAATTTGGATTCCTGGGTTTGAAAATAGATTGTACAATAGTCCTAATATCCTGAGCATTATTTCCAAGTCAAACTATGACTTCAGGACAAGATTTCAGAGGTACTAACCAGTAGGTGCATAAATATTAAGAAAGTACCCCTTCACAAAGAGAGATCAGTACCTGGTTCTGGGTGGGGTAACAAAGATAAAAACTCTGAGTCATTCAAGGAGTTAGCTACTGTGGATCAACTAAATAGCCTCCCTCATCTGAGATCTAGTTCAGAAACACTAGAGGTCCCAGTACCAATCCTGGGGGCAATCTACTCAGTCCATCACCCCACCTGCCTTAACTAGCCCCCAGTGACTTCCCCCTCAGTCAACTTAATATCCAAGTTTCACTGAAATACTCAAACTAGCACTGTACTGAAAAATAATGTACTTTTTTAAAATCACTAGTCTACTGAACAGTGCTCAAAGGGTTGTGTTGCTGACATGGGGTGCAAGGAAACCTTAGAATAAAATGGCTTTAAATTAATATACCATCTCCAGAAGAATTCAATTTCTCCAAGTCTTCGAAGACAGCAATAGCCTGTGGGTAAAGGAAAGACAAATAATGAAACTAAATGAATAGTTAAAATACCAAACTCTCAGAAATCTGAATACTTCAAAAGGAGATATTTTCCTGGAGTTGTGACAACTCTTTACTGGGATAACCAAGGGTTTAACGAATATTTACTCAAACTCCTATATGGGCATAAATGCCTCATCAATTACAAGCTGAGAGACAAACTCCACCTGCAAACTGGTACAAAGATACAGTGCACTGATCTCACCACATCAATCTAACCAGTTCGGGACAGAATGTTTTTAATCAAGGCTAGCAACTTCAGCCTCAACCAAATTGACTTGCGCAAGCAGGGCAATAACAAGCAACAGAGTGCAAAGGATAAAAGGGTGTTCTGTGTCACATCCTCAAATTGCTGCAAGGTACGGTGAAACAGGCTTTAAGCACATCCCAGAAACTCAAACCTCTGGCCATTGATTAACAGAGATTGAAAGATTGGTGAAAAAACTGAATGCATTCTAGGAAAAAGAATGAATACTCAAATGACAGCATAACAAGGATAACAAGTGCTCCGAGAGCTGGATTTTCTCTTGAGGGAGCCAAAACACAAGTATCAAGATAAAAACAAAATACTTTGATGCATAAATCACTCGTTAAACATGACTTGTGGTAGGAACGTTACTCATGAACATAATCAGTTTCTAGTAAATGGATCAGCAACACAGTCTCTCAAACGTTGTTAGCAAAGCCATGTACAAGAATAGAAATGCTACATCGGATCCATAGCAACACCAGATTTGCCACTGGATTACAAATGTTGCTTTTGCATTGATCTTCACCTGCAGGAGACCAAGTGAAAGCAACGTGGACAGATTTGGTTAGATTGGCAGCTTGGGGATGCCATCTTGCACTGCGCTTCGTGCCCATTATTTGCAAATGCAGCAACATGATTTTCATGGAGTTCAGCGTGCTAGCATACTTCATTTACATCGTTTATGGTACAGGGTACTGTTTACCCAAGTGAAGAGAGCACTCAGTTCAGTGCATACCTCTGCCATGCTATTAACTGACTGATGCTCAGTAATTACAAAGCCGACAAAATCTTGTTATCACAAGTATCCATCTCATTGGGGCAGCTTCAGGCTAACACACATCCAACAACTTGCTCTGAAAACTCTGCTCATATTTTGAAAGCTGGAACAAATTGCAATGTATTACATAATGCCAGGCATCAAATGGGAGGTCCATATCCTGAGTGGAAAAGAGAAAAGCATAACAAAAGAAAAATTGAAAAACGACTCAAATTGCTGTCAAAATTGAAAATTGGCTGAGTGCAGACACCTAGGACAGGCCATTCTTCTGGTTGGTACCAAATCACATGTGGGAAAGTCCTGATTCAATTCACTAAGTGGTCACCAACCTTTTTAAGCGCATGATCACCTTTTGAATTGAAATGCAATCCAGGATCTACTCTGAAGAAAATATGGAACAAAGTTTATTTTTAGTGCTATTCAAATCCAGAACTGAGTGTCTATATTATTCACTGCTTGCAAAAAGAACAACATTCAATAGTAGGAGTCCACTAAACCCTCAAACATAACAGAAACTGAACTTTATTTGACAGCCCTTGACTGCTATGGGGAGTGAGCCACATTGCTGCAGAATTGATCCTATCCTGGCTGAAAGTAATTTACACTGATGGTTCAGGAATCAAACACTCAGGAAAAGGAGAAAGCACTATACTCCAGAATTGGGTTAGAACATTACAGTCATACTTAAATCACTGTGGAGCATCACTGCAATCAAGGCTATATAACTGGACCTTTACAGGCTCAAGCAGTCACAGGGAAAATCTCCAGCCTATTAATAACTAGCTAGGAACTGTACTGTTGGGCAGTGTATTAGGGGCTGCACTGTTTAAACTGTAGATTTGCATTTATAGTGTCTTATTAACTCATTCTAAGAACCTGGCATCCATAGGACATCTCCCATGGTTAGTGCTGTTAAATCTGGTTTCCATATGGTGTCACAATACTCTGACTCCAAAAAACTGGTTCAACATATTTGCAATTGTTCCACAATTAACACACTTCATGGCCTCCAACTGGGGAACTGGCTGCAGGAATCTGAATTGAAAAAGCAAGATAAAAATAGCTAAGATTTCCAAATACTTGACTCATTTAAAATGGTAGATTAGCAGTGATCACAAGGTCACAGCTTGACACACTACCATCTCAGCACCCAGCCTACATTCTCAACATTCCCTCCTATGAATTATACAAATTGGAATCACCCAACTAGTTAGGACTTGGTTTGGAGCATTTGTTATCCTGAAACATCTTTTCAATTGAATTCAGAAACCATGTCGATGTTCAGAGAAAGGAGTGCTGGCTTAAAAAGAATGATGGTCACCTGGCACCACACCCAACTTTTACAGGAAGGTTTTAAGCTTTGATTGCTGGGCTGTACTGAGTCAGACGATTTCAGTCAGGGAAGCAGAAATTCAGCTGGGCTCAGGGCCTCTTTCCCAGTGAAAAGGAGAAATAAAATCAGCCAAGGTTACCAGCTGGTGATTGCTACTCAGGTGCTGTCATCTGGTAAGCGTGTGTACACGACTGCCTGGCAAGAACGGGTGTGGACTCAGCTGTAACTCTCCTCTACAGTTGAATAGACCACGCCTGTCAATTCTCACAGGTAGTGGGCATACCTCTTGGTGTTGTCTTCGCATTTGGAAAGGATACAACTGAATGAGGAGTAGTTCAGAGAAGATTCACTTGACTCATTCCTGGGATCTTATAAAGATAATCTTCACTATAGAGGATACAAATAACATCCCAGAAGCAGTGATAAATCCGGAAATGGGAAGGAAAACAATAATCACTAGAGAAGCTGTACTGAGTTAAGGCCAACATACCATTTGCCCTCTTTACCGCCTGCTGCACCTGCATGCTTACCTTCAGCGACTGGTTGCACAAGGAGACCCCGGTCCCACTGCACACTCCCCTCTCCCAATTTGCAGCCATTCAGGTAGTGGTCTGTCTTTTTGCTTTTGCTTCCAAAGTGAATAACCTCACATTTATCCAAATTATACTGCATCTGCCATTGATTTGCCCACTCACCCAACCTGTCGAGGTCATGTTGAAGGATCTCTGCATCCTTGCTACAGTTCATCCTCCCACACAACTTGGTATCGTCTGCAAACTTGGAGATGTTACGTTTTGTTCCCTCGTCCAAATCATTAATATATATTGATAATAGCTGGGGTCCCAGTACTGATCCCTGTGGCAGTTACTGCCACTAGTTACTGCCGGCCAATTTGAAAAGGACCCATTAATTTCTAATCTTTGTTTCCTCTCTGCCAACCAGCTTTCCATCCATCTCAATACACTTCCCCCAAGAGACCTTGGAGTGCAGGTTCATAGTTCCTTGAAAGGTGGAGTCACAGGTAGACAGGATAGTGAGGGTGGCATTTGGTATGCTTGCCTTTATTGGTCAGTGCATTGAATATAAGAGTTGGGAGGTCACATTGCAGCTGTACAGGATATTGGTTAGGCCACTTTTGGAATACTGCATTCATTTCTGGTCTCCCTGCTATAGGAAGGTTGTTATGAAACTTGAAAGGGTTCAGATAAGATTTACAAGGATGTTGCCAGGGTTGGAGGGGTTGAGCTTTAGGGAGAGGCTGAATAGGCTGGGGCTATTTTCCCTGGAGCGTTGGAGGCTCAGGGGTGACCTTATAGAGGTCTGTAAAATCATGAGGGACATGGATAGGTTGAAAGGCCTTTTCCCCAGGGTAGAGGAGTCCAAAACTAGAGGGCATCGGTTTAAGGTGAAAGGGGAAAGATTTAAAAGGCACCCAAGGGGCAAGTTCTTCGTGCAGAGAGTGGTTTGTGTATGGAATGAGCTGCCAGAGGAAGTGGAGGAAGCTGGTACAATTACAACATTTAAAAAGGCATCTGGAAGGGCATGTGAGTAGGAAGGGTTCAGAGGGATATGTGCCCAATGCTGGCAAATGGGACTAGATTAATTTTGGATATCTGGTCGGCATGGATGAGTTGGACTGAAGGGTCTGTTTCCGTGCTGTACAGGTCTATGACTGCATAGATTCAGACAACTGATGTCTATTCAAGAGAAACTAGACCTGCTCATTACCAAAATATTTCAACAGCTTCAGCTACCCATTGAAGGAGCCTATTCTCCGAACGTGAATGGCACTGAACAAAATCATACACCTTCAAAAACTGCACAATCATACCCTTAATAATTATTACACAATTCTTCAGTTTAAGAATAAAAATTGGATTTAATTTGCTCAATAACTTTTGCTGCAACACAACAGCAGAATGACAAGAAAAACCATGGCCCATCTATGATACAATTGCTGTATATTTAAAAAAAAACTTCATTTATAAAATTTGTAAAAGTACAAAATATTGACTAGAAAGTTACAGGGAGTCCAATAAAATTCAACTCGTCTCCATGCAGTATGTTCCATTCTCAGATGTCTCAACATGAATATAATACTCCTAATATTTACAATCTACTTTCCACGTCAGATAATAGAGCTCAAGAACAAAACTAAAGGATACACATCAGCAGTTCATGAATGAGTTCTGTTCCTTTAGTCGAGAGGTGGCTGGTTTGTCCTAGCTCCTTCCCACAGCACAAGTAACCAAGACTAGGAACTTCATAAATGACAGGGAATTAAACCTCATATTTGAAATGTTTGCGCCTCAGGGAATTCCACATCAGGAAACAGTTGAAACAGGCTCCACAGCCTGTGGCTATATTGAATGGCCCACTGGCTGGTTACTACCCATGGTTACCATTGAGATTGCTGCACTTGACTGTTTACTTGGACCATCTTATTTGATATTGACGTTACTAGCTTATTTTATGCTGAGGCTACTAACACACAGCAAAGTTTGTCGGCTGACAGCTTGTGTACTAGATTTGTTGCCCACATAGATGAAAAAGGAACATCTCATTTGATCTCACTCATTTTTAAGACAATAAAAGCATAT